GACATTGCTTGGCAAAACGGGACGTTACTTGGCAACAAAAAGCACTTGTTGCTTCTCAGTCATATTGAGAAACTCCAAGGATGGTTTTAGTGACTTCATTCCAAGTGCAGATCCAGAACCAGATTTTAGGAAACAGGGCCAAAACTGTTTCTGGGGAACCAAAAAATTAAGTAAGCTTTCATAGATTATCTGAGGGATAAGGCCAAAGCTTTGGGCTTTTTACAGGTGTGTTTTATTTTTAATTTTTTTTACAGCATCTTGCATTTGTTGCCCTGTTTGGCTTTAATTGCCCTTTTAATTTTTTCTCCTTTTATTTCAGTTCACAGTGTCTATATTCATTTGTTTTATTTCATTGTGTTTTGTTTTAAAAGCTTTTGATTTGTTTTGCTCGCTTGGTTCAGTTTTTTCAGTTTGTGCCGTCTCAAACCTGATTATCTAGGGGACTGCTTAAGATTACCATCCAATTGCAGAATTGTGCCTCCTTCCAATCGTTTTGGCACACTTCCAATCTTCATGCCATGCGCTGTTTCAGAATAGTGGCAAACAACAGACTTCCAAAGATAAATTGGCATAATACAAATCTCTGAGTTGCTGGCAAAGTCCCCGGGGCTACCTGCTCACCACTAATGGACATGTTTGTCCTGTCGTTAAACCACTGTTGTCGGAGTTTGTGTCTTGGACCACTTAGTGAAATCCAGTTGAAATCTCTGCAGAATAAAAAGGTTGCAATTTCTATGTGAAAGCTATTGTGTCCGCATGGTAACAGAGCATTGGCTTGATGCATCTTTATATGGGCACATTTATGTGAAACAAGCCCACCCTGCGTTTTGCAGCAGTGAATGTTGTAACATCTTTCAAGCGCTGTGGCTAGGAAGAAAGCACTTTATCACGTTCAGAGTTTCCTTCTACCTTTCTCTGTTTTTGTATACCTTTTCTGTATTTGCGCTGTGTTAATTTGGTCATTGTTTCAAAAAAGAGGGAAAGACAGTGATTAATTTGGGAAAACTCTGAGGTTTTCTCAGTCCATTACCCACTTTGTTGTGTGGTGTGGTGTTGTGTTGCATTGCATTGTGTTGCGTTGCATTTTGTGTTGTCACATTACGTTGTGTTTTGTTGCACTGCCTTTCATTGTGTTGTGAACTGCATTGTCTTCAATTTATCACCTTGACAAGTAAACATGGTGCCATTTTGTTGGTTTGTTTGTCTCCTTTGTTTCCCTCTTTTGATGTTTGTGAGCTGATTCTTGTTTAAGAAAACCTGCCTTCTGTTAACACGTTTCTCAAGACTTCATGTGTGAAATCCTTGGGACATGGGTGCATTTACTGCATTGGAAAGCTTTTTGAAACAGAAAAATTGTTAAAAAAAAAAAAAAAAAGTTGCATTATGTATTATCATCGACGTGTTCCTGTTTTGCAAACTTGTGTGCTGTTGGTTCACGACTTTTTCTAACATTAAGGTGGCTAAAAGAGCAGATGACAGGTCAGGAACATGTGCATGTTATTTGCTATCAAAAGGATGCTGCGTGCTACAGGGCACAGCACAGACACCTGCCAGCCGTTATGGTGATTGGATTGTTTGTCAAGAGACAAAAAAAAAAAACCAGTCAGACGCTCAACTCAAAAAGGCAATCAAGCTGACATTCTGAAAGTCACTTCAGCTGCTCGTAAAGCTACATGTATGCGCAGTTTTCAAAAGCTGGCGGTTCTGGCCCCATGCGTTCTGGCCCACGTCCTGGGCATTGTTTCCCCGTGAATGCCACACAGCTCAGTTGCCCCATAATCCAGCACATGGTTTTTTGCTATGTTTCGCTTTGTATTTAGGTTTGGTTTTTTTTCAGGATGGATTATGTGATGGAGACACTCAGCCATACATCCATTGGCTTTTGTTGCACGGGGTGCCTTCATGCATTCAGACTGTCGGAGAATAAAGAATTACTTCCTTGCATTGACTTTACCAGACACAAAGCTTTGCATGACACTGCACCGATACATGTTCAGCATATTCTTATGAGCATGTAGGCCTACCAGTTTGGGTAGCGATTATTCAGCCACCGTAAGAATAGCATCATGTGACACGTACAATGTACGTGTACAGTTTAACTGTTGCAGTAGCAGGCTGCTGTATTTATGAAACACAAACAAATTGTAAATTTTAGTACTGTTACTTTGTAATGGTAGTATTCCATGATGGAGTTGTCCCACGACTACAGTCCCTTGCAAAGTGGGGCTTCACAAGTGCTGATCCTTGGTTGTCATTTAATGGAGATTGTTTTGACACTTATCGGATCATCACAGTTTTGTAACTCTGAGATGCTGCGGCACGTAGCCACTTAGGGCACATGTTATTTCACAAAGTCGGTATTTTCAAGTGCATCTCAACTGAACTTTAATTTGTACATCTATGGTTCTTTACAGAATTCATTTAAAACCCTTAAAATGCGACTCAAGACCCCAAACCCAATTGGCATGTGACCTTGTCCTAAACCTGACAGGATCACTACATTGCTGAAATTTCTGTCACTAGCACACAGTGCAATGGTAGACACTTTAAGCATGGCCTCACACACATTCCAAAGTGCAAACTATTCTACGTGTATTCACAGTCAGCAGGTTTAAAGGGAAGCAAACGGAGAGGGGGTTATCAACATGAATGATGAGGCTTCAATCAAAGTGACATGTATACTACTGAGACAGTTTAGGAAAATCCACTTTTTGTCATATCACGGACCCTTGATCTGTGGAATGGCTTTTACTCTCGTGGGCATGGGGGGGCTTTCCTCCCCCCCCCAAAAAAAATTGATAATACAAAAAAAGGATATTAAAGGCAAATAGACATGCGGGAAAAGACGAAAGAGGACAAAATTTACCAGTTTGCTTGTGAAAACCTTGAAGCTGATGCCCTTTTGGTATTCTTAATGGCTTACCGCTTTTAGTTTGTTGCTGATGATCGAGTGCTTTGCCCCTCCCCCGGAAAAAATCCTGATAATGCCTGTGTGTGTGTGTGTGTTGGGTACATGTACATTCACGTATGTGAGTCGTAGTCTCATATACATTCAGTGTGCTGTTACAAAAAGGACATGTACATGTACACTGAACGGCCACTGGCATTTGCGCAGTTTGCATTGACAGAAGACTCTGTGCATTTAAATAGCCATCCTGAAGTGCACTGACCAGTCAGCCAGCTTAGATTTCATTGACCTGGGTTCACATCCCTCCCAGAGCAGTGTTTGGATTTGCTGGTCAGTCACCAGTCCATCAATAAGAAGGATTTTGTTTGCCTTGAGGATGAAAGCCCCCTCCTCCCCCGGGTGTTTCTTTTTTATCCCCCTCTAACAAATTACTGGCTTGTGTATGTGCTTGGAACAACAGTGTTTTTCCACGGATCCGACTGATTGGCTGCATTTTGCCAACGCTGATGAAGTCTGCTCTCCTGAGACCTCCATCATGCTTTGTGAACAAATAAGGATGTGTGTGTATGTACTGTGCATTCATGTCTCACACTCCCATACTGGTACCTTTGGCGCCAGTGCAGACTGAAAACACAGTGCACAAGACATCAAATTACACAGACTTGTTTGCAGGAAGGAGGCACGGCATAGCCACTTGGCTTCATTCTATTTGGCTTTTTTTGATAATGAAATTGGTGAAAATTACAGAAACGTTGGAGCCGTGTTCACCATTTTCAGAAAAGAATTCATGTTTCGTGGCATTTCTCATTTGTTGGAACATTTTGGGTTCAGCTATGTCTTCATTTATTGTTACCCATCTTTCAACCTTAATTTTTCTATAAATAACAGTGCTTTGTTATTTTTCTTATTGTGGTATAGGGAAATAAACCAAAATCCAATTTTAATTGGTTGCTTTCTTGGATGAGCACCATGTGCCAAGAATTTGGAAGGCTTTTGGGGAAACCATTTCCAATCTCCCTGAGGAGGAGCTGGAACCCAGCTGATCACTAGTGCCCATCTTGAGTACTTAACCATTGACACTTGCAGCAGTTGTCTGGCTGGTTCCAATCTGTCATATGTTGTAACGGCAGGTGTTACAGTCAGTGACTGCACATGCAAAAGTTGGAAATATTTCTTTACCAATTTTTGGTTTGGACATTTTCAATGCAACAGCAGTGGTGGAAAGTTGTCATGTGTCGTTGAGTTTTTATGAAGCAGTCAATATGAATGGCAGAGAACACCGTGTTACTTTACCGCTGCCGAGACAGGTGTTTCATCCAGCACTGCTGCACTATTACGGGCATTGTTAGGCCATTTGAAATGGGTGGTGCCATCATGAAATGTGCTGGCAGTCTGCTGGCAAATTTCATGCGTGTCATGGTGAACTGATTGACTAACCTGCCACCTACATGACCTCTCCTTTCCATTCCCCTTCTTTCTCCATTCTTGGCAACAGCACCACAATTTTGCGACAAAACTGGGGAGGGGGGTTGACATCCACATCTACTGTTGGCTGAGTGCACCTTGCCACAAACCCTGCCGTTGTGGTTTGTTGCATTCTGTTGCATTCTGTTCCATGAATAGCAGGGCTCTCATTTCAGCTGTGTTGCAGTCAGTCTGTTGCATTTTATAGCAGGCTGCTAAGAGAGGACCGATGGATTTGTGGTTGAATTTTGGATTTCATCAGCACAAAAATAATCAGTCTATAGTCAGTGATCAGTCCGATTATCACACAGAGTTTGTATTTACTTTTTACTATGCTTGGTCGAAACGTTTCATGTATTTTCCATAATGTAAAATTGTCCATTGTTGACTTGTTGGTAACACTTTTAGACTGGTCATTGTAAAATTGTAAACCTTTGTCAAATTTTTGTAAAAATGCTGTGAATTTTGTGGTATTTTGAAGATGCGTATTTTGAGCAGTAGTTAAGAATTTCATTACCAAAATAGCCGTCATGCATCACGTGGACTAAATTTGTGAGACTGCCAATAACCAGCCATAAGGTTTTGAATGCGATTATAAGATGGACTTTTTTAAATTGATGTCTTTCAGGTATGAACGGCCTGCAAATGTGGTGTGATGTCGTCACTCAAACGCTGGCGCTCTTCATCAAGCGAATTGTCACCTTCTGCAAGTACATACCAGGTGAGTGGTAGGGTTGTAACGATTCACTGATGCATCGATAATCGCGATTCTAAAATGCCACGATATGGCATCGCGATACAAAAACTTGAATCGCGATATTTGGGGGGAAGGGGGAATTATGATAAAATGTGCAGTAAGTTGAAAATAAAGTTAGGCCCAATAGCTTTATATTTTTAATATTGCCTGTACTGATTACTCTTGCAAGAAATAGTTTGGATGGGTTTAGCATCACAGACAACTCGCCGCATGTACATGACATAGGCCTACCTGGCACTAAAACGCAAAATTGACGGTAGGGCATGCATCATGCCGCTAAACCTTCACACCGATCTCGATGTCATGAGGAAATTCAATGTATATCGGACTTTATCCTTTCATTTGTTAAACCACACCAGTTTATCAGGTTTAGACAGGTTTTTTCTTCCTTGCATAAGCGCCGTTTTTTCTACGCAGTGCACGATCTTTGGTTCACACACCGAACAATACTAGAGCTCCGTAATGCACATGAGTGAACCTACATGCACATGTGCAAAATGTGCCTAGTGTGACTGGGCTCAAAGTGCAAGCCTTGTGTGTAAACAGAGACCAGGGACCATCCAGTCATTGTGTTGTGATTGGTTGTCAATGAAACATCAATATTCATACATGTGTCAGTGGGACTTATTACAGCTGTTCGTGTGTGAGTGGAAGTAGTGACTAACAATCTCCATAGTTACTTGCAGTAACACACATTTCACTGTGAATTTATGCCTTGAAATAAGGTTAGTACATTTTCGCTTTCGGCGACTCGATATAGGGTTTTGTGACAACTGGTGCAGGGCACGTAAAGTTTTTGTGTCATCGAATTTTCAAACAATTTTTGGATATAAACTTATCAAAATGTCAGTGCAACACAAATATCATAATTGTCTCAAGAGGCCCTAACTTGTATGCAATCTTTGACAAGACCAATCCTCAAGTTACGAATCCGCAAAAAAAAAAGTGGATGGAATACATCGCAGACCATCAAAATCTCTTGTTATTAAAAAATAAAAAGACTCTCCACCCTAACATTTTTTACCCAAAACTTTAGACAAAATAAAAACCGATGCTACTGTACACACCTACCCAACTTATTTTTTTCAATGTAATAGGATGCACAGCTATTATTTTGTTTGGCCTAATGTTAATAAACCAGAAACACTTAGAGAAAGAAATGCACTCCTGCAGTTTGTGACTCATCTTGCAGAAGCTTCTTGTCCTCATCACCTATAAGTTAGTAAGTTACCATTGGTAAGTTACCATTGAGAAGTTACCATTGGTAAGTTACCATTGATAAGTTACCATTGGTAAGTTACCTAGTAAACTGTTTTAAATTGGCTTTCATCTTATTCATGTAGGTTTTTGGTTTTTACGATACGTATCGCATCGTGAGATACACCCCTAGTGAGTTGCATGTTAGGAGAGACCAACGCAGCTCCACAGCTTGTGTGAGATGCACAGCTTACAGTTTAGGCTTCCCCCGCCTCTCTCAGTGGGAGGCGACCCACCTCACAAAATAGTAATGACTGCCTTGACTTTTAAGGCCAGCTTTGCCACCTCTCACTAAAAAAAAGAAAAGAATTTAACAGTAATCCTTGATAACAGAATCTTTATGGAATAACTCGCATTCCCATCGTTCTGACTGATACAGAAGGTTGCCTGTCGCAAGACCGGTTTATTTGCAATAGAAGAGGCAAATTGAGAGTAAATGTGCCATGAGGTTATGCACAATTTTAGGCTCCGTTTGCATGGTCACTATATGTGCGTTTGCACGCGTGTTTTAAGCCAGTCACACCGTAGGTACCTCAGGGGTATCCAATCCTCCACACAAGTTAGTACTGCGCGTAGGTCAAAAAAATGTTGAGACAAAATGTGTTGTTGTGATCAAATTCACTCCACCACCATCAGCTATTGATTGAGAATACACTTCAGCAAGGTCACATGAGAACACACGCTCACAGGTTAAATGTCATAAGCACACCCAAAAAAAAACAAAGGCAAAGAAACTTCATTTCCGTTTCCGATATTTTGGCCCACCGCAGCTGCTTTTCATCAAGACTAATAGCAAAAGTGGTCAGAGAATGGCCAATGTGTGACTGCGTTTTTCACGCTTGGGAGTGTTCTTTCATGACCAGCAACCAGAAGCGTATTCACAACATTAAAGCAATGACTAGGAATTTGCTTAACCACTTGGTGCTGGGGTTCCCGGAACCGGAGACATTAGGTTTATACGCATACCCAGGGGTGCCCAAAATTGGACAAAAAGAGCTGGGCCTTGTAACAAAAGACTGTCGTCGGAACAAAAGACCGAGCTGCCCGGAATTATCAACATTTTTTTGGTTGTCAATAGTAGAGGTAATCCATCAGTTTTGAAACAGTGTACCACTATTTGTGGCATTCAGGGAAAGCAGATTAACACCAAGGACAAAAGTGCGTGATACAATACTGCTGTACACAAATTTGGTTGCATTTGAAAAAATGCCAGCAGCGCACTGGGCCAATTACTCTGGCGTTAATAGATGTTGTCTGTCAGATTAGAGTAGGCACCAGACAGTCATCCGTGCGGGTATAAACATCCAGTAAAATTATGAATTTGTGAAGAATTTTGATAACGGAAAATCTTGAAAATCCTTGGGGAACTTGTCGTGCAGAACCAGAAATGCTTCCATTCCAGAGAGACAGAGTTCAAGGCAACAGACGATTTTGTTGACAATGTCACTTTTCTTGTAATGTTCGTCATGATTCTCAGTGCTACTGTTCTTAATTTTCACAATCTAGAAGGTTGTACCTGTTTTGGTTTGTTGCATGCAATAATTGATGGGGGATAGATCATTCAGTGATCCAGGACACAACAAAAAAGTCCACTTATTTTGAGCCATTTTGACCTGGCAGTGAACCAACTCCAAACTTCAATTTTCATTTGTTCAAAACTACAACGCCACAGAGGGATAACCCAAGCCACAAAAATGCACATCAGCAATCATAATAGAAACATCTTTCTTGGCATGGTCATGTAAACCCACCCCTGTTTACATGCAAACCTTTGCTTACTTTTTTCAACCAGGTTTTGCCTTGCTGGACCAGCATGACCAGATGATCCTGATCAAGGCGGGCTTCTTTGAGATCCTGACGGTGCAGGACAGCATCGAGTTGGTGCTGTACGACGCCTTCATGCTCAGCAAAGAGATTCTGATCACCCGGCCCAACATGCTCAAGTTCATGCCCCAGGAGCTGGTGGAGTCACTCTACGACTTTGCAGGGCGGCTACACCGCCTGCGGCTGACCATGACCGAGCTGGCCCTGCTGTCAGCCATTGTGCTCTACGCAGACGGTATGTATCTCGACAGCTTTTCCCAAAATCTCAGTTTCTGGCTCTTGTTCTCCAGGGTTTGCAGTACCCATTGGAGCAGTTGACCAAGGCCAGTGATTTTTAACGTCAGTTGAGTTAACATTTTGAAAACTTTATATCTGAGTAATTTTTTTACCTAGCTTGTACAGAAAGAGACAGAAAAATGAAGCTGGGCAAGCTGCCAAACATAGAGGTTGGAGATCTCTGTAAGGACAAGGATAACACCATTACGGGATTACTACCACAGGGAAAGTGAAAGTTCTGGCCGCAGGGTTGCCTGTCTGAAGCGTCTCGTAACATTTGGCTCATGGGGTCGCACCACAGCAGTAATGATACTTTCTTCGGCAGTGAACATTGTTGCAGGATTAAACGATGCTTGGAGCAGCGTCCTTTGTGGGGCAGCACATCAGAGTGCAATAATTCACCGATATTAGAACTGACAGGTTTGCTCGGAGTCATCTTGCCACGCTTTTAATGCTATAGGGGGGGTTCTTTGTGCAAGCAGCACAGTGGGACCCATTGTGTTCAGTCTCTCTGTCTTTTTTTTTTTGGGTTGTATAGGCTTGATGTAGGAGGTCACTGATCGTATAGTCACAGTCTGGCTTCATGTACAAGGAGAATTGGTTCATTCAAAGGATGAAATGTCCACTGCCTAGGCAGAGGGGTGTATATGGTACATTGCAGTTGAGCGTTAACCTGTGAATGTGAAACTCTCGCCACACTTTTTCTCTTGCTGAGGTATTTATTCTCATTCAACAAAACATAAATAACTTTTCCTTAATAATCAGAAAAGATTTTCACAAAATTGGGAAACAGTTTTCACATCTTTTTAGGAAGTGGGGAAAGTTTTTACACTTATCACACAATTGGGAAACATTTTTAAGCCTTTTCACACAATTGGGAAACATGTTTAGGCCTTGTAAAATACAAATATGAATTCTCTTCCCAAAGTCTTCTGTACCCGTTCACAGTGGTAACTGTCAACTGCAGTGTACTGTATATGAAGCAAACTGTTAAAATGTGAGATGTGTTCTTTCAAAAACAAAGGGCCCCTCTTCCAGGCTCATGGCAAAAAAAAAGTTCATTCAAAAGTTGAAAACTTTGAAGTTGGCCCTCTTGGAGGATTCATGACTTAATGAAACGGGGTCCTCCGGTTGCTCGTAATCCTGCTTCAGCTGGTAGATACTGGTGTGGGAATAAGATCACCAAAAAAATGCCATCGGAGTCAGCAATCAATCAAGGCTGCAGATTGCTATAGACAGTCAATCTTTCACATGTACACACAGTGGGAGGGAGTCAGGGTGGCGTAGTGCTTCCTTCCTCATCTTCCGCCTCTGCAGCCCTGGTTTAATTCCCGGCTCGGTCCACGTGTGGATTGAGTTTGGAGTCCTTACCTGATTCCTGGGTTTACCAATGACATTCTTTTAGGATTTTCCTCCTACCCCTGAAGCTGTAACTTTTCATGGTCACTTGTCTACAGGTTTCTTATTAAGAATTATGAGCTTCAGTGCCTGGGGCACGCTTCTGCAGATTCCATGGTTTCATTACCAGATGGCCTCAATAAGAAATTTCTAGTCAGGGGCTGGCTCCAAAAGTGATGCGGCCATGTTTATTTCTATTTATTTATTTTTTTTGCCCTCTCGTTTTTTTTCTAGAAATGATGTCACTGCATGGTATTTACATGAAGTGTCCGTGCATGAGTTGTCATACGTCATGCACATATAATTGCAATTGCATATGCACTACTGCTACCAAGAATGATTTAGACTGTCCCCCTCACTATTGATAGTTAAAAAGCATTTTCAGCTTGTAAATGTACACAGGACATAAGACCACCTTGATTGTCTGGTTCCCAGATGTAAATGTACAATACAGAAATGACGCCGTCTGAAAAAGATTACCCAACTACATGTACATTCATTCATTTACGGTTTATTTCTTAATACCAAATAGAAAGTCGAAA